CCCCCCCCCCCCCACTCAAGATGCACCAGTTGACCATGAGTCAGAGCTTTTTTTAAGGTAATCCTGTTTAATTTACAAAAAAACACATATTAGCTGATTTGAAGAAGTAAGACTCAAACAGAAGTTTCTTTGTTCATTGTTCCAAGCCTCTCTTGCCATGGCTTACCTGAAAGTGCTCTCTCTCAGCATTTCTTAGAGCCACGCTCCAAGTGCTTTTCTGTTTATTTCTTGAGCTTCCTTGCTGCCTTCTGTGTGCTTGTATGGTGTCTCTGCTGCTTCACTGCAACAGCACGCCTCTACAATTAGGTTCAGTCTCTTATCTGTCCAGAGAGCTCTTTCAATGAACTGGCCCAACCAATGTCCAGACATTTTTGTTCTAGTTCTTGGACAGTATTCTTTCATTACTTCAACAGTGTTAGTATAAAAGGGCATATAATTGTTTCTCTGTTTAACCTGGATGAAAAGCAACTATCATATACAGCTGTTTCTGTGAGCAGTCCCCAGCATAACAGCACCTTTCAACATTTCATGGTCTAAGGAACATTGGCATACAAAAGTAATTAATTTGGGTTATTTAATGTATATGCATCCCTGATAGTTTACTGTTTAAAGTCTTTCTATCTACTACCAGGATATACTGCTTCCCCTTTTTGTCCAGAACTTTTGGAATTAATGCATTAATTCCTGAACTTCTGCTTTTGTCTTGCAGAAAAATGGAACACATTTTCTTTCATACTTTCTTGTTCTTTTTTGGGAGATCTACCTCCTTCCATGATGGTGCACTGAACTCTGGGAACCTTACTTTTTTGCTTTTTTTAACATGTGGTTAAAAAAGAGGCTTCTTTCTTTACCACCTCCTCCCCAGCTTGGATTGTAAAGAAAATAATTCAACCATCAAATTTACTTTTGCTTATTCTCTTGTTCATGCCCTAGGAACATGATTTGGAAAGTATGACCCCTTCCATTTAGACCCTCCAGAAACAAAGATAAATTACATACTTACCATAGTTTCTAACTGCTTACTTTATAAATACACCTCCAGTGCTTCCTGTTAAAGGGAACAGGTTGCACCTTATTAAAGCATTACTTGCAGGCAATGAACATACAAAAAAACGATATTAAAATTATTTTAAGAGTGTGATTTAATTAAATGGAAACAAGCCAACAGAAAAAATTGTGTTCTTACTCAGCCCATTGTGGCTAGTTGCCACATAGCTCTCAAATAAATGAGATACAGCACAACAAAATACCCAGTCACAAAGAGATGAACAAACAGCAGAATGAGAGCTTTCCTTCTGAAGTTCCTATCTCTTGCTGGCTTTAGGACATAATTCCTATTGTTTTATATTTTGTAAATCACAGCTTTTCTCCTAACTAATTTTATACAGTTATCTGAAGAACTCCCAATTATATACTGAGGTTATTTCTTCAGGGCCCGGTCTCCCCTGCCCCAGTCTTCCAGTCTCTTCTGCCCCACCTGGGATAACCTGCTGCATGTCAGAGTGCATGTGGCACAGGTGTTTGCCAAGGACAAGTAGCAGTGGCACAAGGTATGCTGCTGCTTCTCATCCCCAGGGAAACAAATGGTCTCACTTGTGTGGACGTGGCCAAGGAGGGCAAAAAAGGAACCAACCAGATTCTGCCTCCTGTAAAAAGGTCATGAAAAGTCAAAAATGTAGGTTCTCCACAACTGACCTTACTGAGGCCCCTGTCACATGTTCATTTAATGGTGCAATGAGATCCGATCCTTGATCCCAACAGTTACCTTCCTGCCATGCCACATGGGATAATGACCTCAGGCTTGCACTGCACAGGCAAATTTAAACCCAGGTGCCACAGGGTCAACAATCAGTTGATTGTCCCAGGGCTGCCTGGGACCTGCTGATTTTTGGCCCCAAACCCAAAGAGTTCCAGGTCCAGTTCACCTGGTACAATCAGGGCAGACAGTCAGTTGATTTTTAGCCCTGACCCAGACAGCCCTGAGTCTGAGATATGGGGCTGTCTGAGCCCAGGCTGACAATCAGCTGATTGTCAAAACCACATGCCTAGCAGCTATGACTGGACTGCTGGGTACAGGGCATCAGTGGGTCCCAGTGGGGCTAGCCAAAGGGCCCTACTGGGATCTTTAAACCCAGACTCTGAACCCAGAGCTGCTGGGCATGGGGTTTAAAGTCCTGGTGGGGGGAACCCTTTGGCTTCATGGCTCCCCTCCCGCCACTTCAGCCCCCACTGGTAATCACTTGATTGTTGGTCCTAGGGCTGTTCGAGACACTAGTGCAGGCTGCATGCTGGGACTGACAATCAGCAGATTGTCAGCCACAGTCACACATTAAAATTTAGGGACCCATACAAACCAGTCACAAAAATGTTCTACATTATATGAGTAACAGTTTTATGGCTCATTTCTCATTTTATGGTGCCTTAAATTGGGTGCACATATAGCACCTTGCTCATTTATGCCATGATTTACACATTGTTGTTTTCACTATGATGATCCAGGTAAAATGCAAGAAGCCAGAGTCTTTTTGGTGATATCTTTTATTGGATCAACTGTATAGTTTTGAGACAAGCTTGCAGGCACAAGTTGCCTTTCCTTCGGTCTACCCTTCCTGAAACCTGAGGAAGGGAACTTTGTGCCTGAAAGCTTGCCTAACACATCTCAATTGCAGAGTTTATTAAATAAAACATATCCTCTGAAAAGACCCTTGCTTTTTGCATAGTACTGAGGAGTGTACAGTCGGCATGTTTATGCGGCTATGCTGGCTGTATAGTGGGGGGCTTACATGGAGTTACATACAAATTCTTCCATCAGATAGCAGGAACAAAGTGTATTTGGAGCTGTGCATTGGCCTAATACCAGCTCTGATATGACTGATACATATTAGAAGGCCTCCTCAGGGAAAGAAAAACAGAACTTCATCTGTTTTCTGTTGGCCCAGCATGTCTAAAATCAAGTAATTTGTTTATCCATTTTTGATAATTTGGAGGATTATGAAACTGGTAACTCCAAGGTGCTGAAGTTCTCAGTTAATAATATACATGCAACTAGAACTCAAGAAATGCCTGAGATTCCAGCTATGTCATTTAATTGCTGTATGTTTACACACTGTGGAAAGCTTTCAGGGAGTGAAGAATAATCGTCATTTTGGCTCCACTGTATGTTGACACATTTTCCAATGCTGATAGATGCATTTGCATTTACAAAATTTCATGGACCTAATTTATTTTGACATCTAAATGAGAGAGCATGTTGGCTTTTAAGGTTTATTGTAAATACTTTTGGTTATTCAAAGTGGATTTCTTCCCACCAGTTAGTATGGTATTCATGTTTTCCAATTGTTGTGAATTTTTGTATGTGTGTGTGGTTTTCTGCTGGTCTTGGAAAGTAAGGAATGGTGAGCACAGATTGACTTTTGTGGAATATGCACGATGTATAAACAGGCGCCTTCTGTTCCATAGCAAGCTATATTCAAGCTGGTGTGGCAGACTGGAAATTTACTTTCCAGTAAGGGTTTTTTAGCAGATATGGAAACAAATGTTATAATTAACACACTCCTCTTAATGCTCTTTATTTTGATTATTCAGTTTTACATTGGTTTTCACGCAATGGCTATAAATTTGGGGCTTCACAGTGCAAAGCTACACTGAAGAAATTGTTAGATCTGGAAGTTTTAGTGGTGAAGTCAAGGACAGTTGACTTCAAGAATGTCAAGCATCTGTGAAGGTGCTTTGAGATTGTGGGATTAGGACACTAACTGATTACCATTGGGCATGTCTATACGTGTTATTAGTTTGCAGCAATAGACTGCCGCATATCACAATAGAGTTACTGCTCCTGGGTATGCCATTTGCTTGGGACCGCAGCACATTGAACCGAGTCAGATCAGCCCTGGAGGGGTTGGAGGTCAGCATGAGTTACTCAACATGAAGATCTCTGCA